CAACATTCTAATCAGAAACTGTATGGCATTTTATTAATAGAAAAAAGAGCAGTATGAAATAAAACGTTTTACAACACCTACATTATTTTTATGTTAAATCATTGTACGTTATTCATTTCGAACATCTCTCTCTCTCGTTAACGTAAACTTTGATTTACCATACTCCTATGTAAATAACTCTTTCCTTCTGTAAAATGGTTTTTTTTTCATGAATAGGTATAATAAATTAACGTTTTTTTGACATCATTGACGCTTACCATGACAGCGTGGCTGTAGAAATATACCGGGTGAATATTCCAAAACCGAACATAGGAAATTAACATGGGAAAAAGGTTTTTTTGTAGATCGTTGCTACCCATGTTAACTTAGAGGGTTTATAATGACACGACGAATGGAAAGAAATTTTTTTTTCTCATCGAATGATATATGAATTAGTTAATTTTCAGTTGTATTTCTCGTTATTTTATCAAAAATTCGGCATTGAATGACGAGATGCTTCATGAAATTTAGATTGAACTTCCGTTGAAGTAAGTTCGTTTAATCTAGAAATTTTACTCTTGTTGAAGAATGTACTATTTTACGGAGAGTTAAATGTTCGCGATTTTTTTAAAATATTTATTAAAAGTTGTTATCAACATTTTCGTTTAGTGTATAACTTATTTTTTCAAAAAAAATGCTTAGAATTGGTAGATACTGCAGAGCCTTAAAGAGTGCATCATTTGTATGAGTACATTTGTGTAACTTCAACGTCATCAGAGAACCTAATGGTCATTTATACACTGAAAGTTTGCCTACAGTAACTAACTACTTAGTCGTCTGCACGCCTACTAATCATTGAGGATTTATAGCCACATGTAAGTACGAGTACCATACGAAAAATCATGTTAGGTACAACGGCGATAGTCGTCTTTGTAGCAAGCTTTGTTCTAAGAAACGTTAACAAATTAGATTTGTCCAATATTAAAGAGTTAATATGAGATTACTGATTTATATTAAAATTATGCCATATTAAAACTTTCCTAATTAGAAGTTGACCAACTTATACAATTAAGGGGTAGGACAAGGGCGTCATTTTCTTGTGATTAATATAGCATACTTCTTATATTATTTAATTAAACTGAGCATAAATTGTTCTCATTATGCAAAAAATGCAGTAATGGAGATTAAAGTTACGTATACGCTTTGGTACACGTATCTTTAATGAAAAGTTGGCGTTATAGCTGTTTCAAAGAAGATAACACAAATTTTAATTATAATAAGCTGTTACCTAAACTGTAACTAACGTACAAAATTCTTATAAAAAATGCAAGGAACGACTTAGTTAACTTCATAACGCTTCGTTATGTCAGAAAGCGTTTAAAGCACCTACCCCATTATATTAAGGATAACCTACTTGTTTAATTAACTTAACCCTATTAGTAAAACTTTACACAGTTGACTTTTATCACTCGATCCATAGTTACTGCTACTCAATTAGGTTATTTTCTAACCGTTTATTTACTACAGCTGTAACCTGAACAGAGCATTTCTGTTAGGTGGTAAATTGATGGGGGTAGTTGTACACAGCGTCATTTATCACCGCGGTAAATAATTTATCGAGTTCCTTTTATATCAGACTCAGACTGGCTTCTGTGTGTGTGTTTTATACTCGCATTGATAAAACGATGTGAAATTCAATTGAACACTTAATTGAAAGTAATATCTAGTTAATTATTAACCGAGGACGTAATTCAATACGTTAGTTTAATTAGTACACTTGCCATCGGTAGACCCTTGGGGTATCTCTCTACCACTAAATTATTTAGAGTAGTACCTACCGAACTGAGGTCACGACTACTTGAAAATATCTGAAGCGAGCTCGTCACTATCATAATAGACGCCCTCTGCTGATAACGTTTATTGTTATAGGTGAGAGTAAATTAAGGAATTACGGAAACGGAATAAAGCTTTGTCCAAACTAAACAAACCTACCTACATTTGTAACCATTTGAAAATTACACGTTACATTTGATCTCAAACTTCATTTATTTCACTTTTCCTGCAAAGTCGTTAGTTTGATGTAAAAGTAAAGTGGGAATCCCAGATTTTATCTGTGAATATGCCACACTGGGTAATGATATTGTTATCAACCTCTTAATCAATCACATATAACATCCCATAAAACCTGTCACATACTAACTGGTATTTTTGTAATGTCTTTATTACCCACAAAACAGTATATGCATACCTATATTCAATACAACTCGGTACAACACACCATCCCCAATCAGGCACACGTGAGAATGGGCGTACATAATTACGTAGATATTACCTTTTTCATTCTGTTATGATCACTGTTGAAACCAGGCGCGATGTGATACGGCTCGAAGGACCAAATGTTACGTCCAAAGGCGAGTAAAAGAACTGTTTTATGTATCGGCTATATCTTCTATTAAAAGGAAAGGTGACTCTGACTACTACTAAATTACTGTTGTTTGCGGCTGTCCATTTACAATGTATACATTTCGCAAGAAAATGATTGCACTTTACTATCAGTATCTATCCTTAAAAAACCCTGAACTTTTAAGGAAAAATCGGGAGCTCTCATTTTCAATATGGATTAAGCGAAGCTATACTGGGGAACAACAAGATGGTAGTTTAAAAGGCATAAACTTTAACATGCTCAACGAAAACAGTCCCTACCAACTAGAAAACATTTACAGTGGCATTAAATTTCATTTAATCTCAAACTAAAGGAAGGCAGTTTAGACATTATAGCGAACAAATGTCGCATTTAAAGTTCAAGATTCAACTAAAACGTCGTCGTCTACCGATTTCCAGCGAAAAGCCTCCACAATAAATTCCAAACAGTTTCTTGGCATCCGAAATAAACTTGTAGATGAGTTGGCGGGTAAACCACATACACATTTAATGTATTATTAAATGAATCCGCGACAGAGGGTATAGAAATCACAGTAACCCCGATTAGATTCCTCGAGTAGTAAAATGAAACCGTAGGGAGAAACTCATCTGCCGAGATTGCTTCCTGAAAAAGATAAGCTCGAACGTAATCCTCTATCTCCATTATAATACTGAAAGATACTGCTACACCTTTTTTTTGTTTGGGACTTATTGAGACCCAGCCCGACGCCTATTGTGAAAAAAAAAATCTATAAATCGTCGAAGGCGAATTAATATTCAACGACATCTTATGAATTTTCGAGTGGTTGCTCCTTAAGATGTAGAAGTAATCACCATTAGAGTTGAAAATTGATGAACGCTGATGAAGGATAAAATAAGTTTGAGGAGATTTTAAATTCCGATCCAACCATTATTTTATATTGGGGGATTTGGGAAGTATTTGCTTTTAATCTTTACTTTAGCACTTCGAAGCGAATTTTTGGACTTTAATTAGGTACATATAATTTGCATAAATCGTGCAGGATTAGTTGTTTCGCCCCAAATCTGACTGATAAACTAGAGACCCTTAAGCCGAATGTATCCATGTAACAAACTATCCGCAAAACTAATGATGTGAAAGGACGTGTACTGAAAAATTGAACCTTTTTATTTTATCTGAGATTGAAATGTGATTGTCTAATCAGAATCGATCTACTGTGAAACGCTTTTGCTAATACTGGGTGTTGGTTCGAATTTCGCGTGTAAGAGTCTAGTTTTTTTTGCAGCATGGAGTTTATTGTATTCGTAAAAGTGAATTGTAGAAGAAGAAAGGTTTTTGCCCGTTTGCCGTTCGCATGTACACAGACGGACGGACGAACAGACAGACGAATAAAAAGTGTATATAGGTACTTAATAATTACAAACATTTAAAAGAAAAAATCATCAATATCGACCTGTTCCTAAAACGTTTCAAGATTTTCAAAACCCTTACTGTTTTGATTATTAACAATCTCTTAAAAAAATGCCAGAATTTTTCCATGTATCTCTTCAAACTATAAAATAAATAACAGTAAGAAAATCAAAAAGAAACTTTTAAGTTCATTCACTACCATAGTTGTAGCAAAGATAACGCAAAAAAAGAAGCAGTTAGTGTAATCTTACTCAGTCACCAATAATCAACATATAGCCATATGTGGTCAAAGAAACGTAAAACTGGTTCTAAGAAAACTGGAAACTTACCTTTTCTGAACACCACCACAACACTACCACCAGAAATAAAATTTTTTTAAATTAAAAAAAAAGTATACACAAAATCAAAACCCGTGCTCAGATAAATTTTAAAATACCACTCTGTCAAACGTTCAAGAATGAAGATACTATAGAGGCGGTGATTTTTCGGACCTAATTACTTTTACCTTGTAATAAACCCTATTCATCTTCCAGAAATAATAGAAAGGATGTCATTACGATATTTCTCTTATTGTTTCTTTATGAAGTGCAATTTGTGTTATCGGGGTCTTTTCAAATTTACCGTTAATTATAATATTATCTTAATTACTTATCCAAATTTAGTGCCATCTATGAAATGCATTGTTCTATTGTCATTTATACATACTCGTTTTGTCTAAAATTTAATTCATTTCCTTTGTCACCCTTTTCAACTAAACAAATAAAGAACAATTTTTTATGTGTTCATTAACACATCTTTATGTAAGGGAGCGTTAAAATTACTTCCTTTTTCTATTTTCATCTTGATCTTATAATGTAAATATTTTTAACTTTAGACTTATCACTTTGTTTGTGTACGGTATTATATGTTGATTCTGTTTTAATATTAAGAGCGTCCCAAAAGTAGCGAATATTACACATAATATTGTAGATATACTATAACTAGGTATAACTGTTTGGTATTTAATTACTCCAAGGACTTTAAAATTTAGTACCCAACATAGTGACGAACCTGGACTAGTTCCTACGACCGCGAAACTAAACAATAGTCCACCTTTTGGATGTTTCAAAGTGAATGAAAGTTTATCGTTCACGCAATGTTTTGAAGCAAATTATTGCTTCCTTATTCCAGTTGCTGTGATACGTACAACATAAAATGCGAATAATTCAAATACCGAAATATACATGTTTATTTAAAGCACTTTTAAAATACAATCGGTTTCATGTGGAGAAGTGTGATTGTTAACCAAGCTTAAAAAATGTTCCAAATGCGATTGCTTGTGGACCGCGACTTGGAATCCTGGATAAGATGTCCTCAAGTACTCCTCCACGACGGAACTATTCAAAGGTATTGGAATTTCCAATGAATATCTGTTTAAGCCTAGCAAGGTTGGAATTTGATTATGTTCAGTGTTCCGTATGTCCATTGTTGACTTGTACGACCACCGCCTTCCAGAATGTTCTTTGACCGACAATTTAAACGATTTACGAAAATAGTATCTAAGGGTACAATGAAATAGTGTTAACAGAAATTGAAAGCTTACTTATTCTCGTCTATACCGATGCGGCGTAGTTTTTTACACTTTTTCAAGATTTTGTTTATACCCGCGCGGCATCTGCTACGTTTGCAAAAGTCGCCATTAATTATTTTGAGTTTCCTCAGCTCTTTGCTCGCTTTTCCGATCTGTATAAAGTGTATGGAACGATCATAGTGAAACATTCGGACTTACCGCATTAAGTATAAGAGGTAAATCTGATCGGCACGATATTGTTACGTCCGTTATATTAGGAGACGAGTTGATTATATCACAAATCTGCTGCGTTTTCGGCCTTTTGGGATTTAATATTCTTAACCTTTGTACATGCAGGGTCGGTTTTGGAGTTAAAAGGTTCCACCTTCTGCAGACATGCCGTACCTTACTTAGAATTTCTTCGTTGCTCAAAAATGAAAATATATGCAGCAGTATTTCGGTTGGTAAAACGTTAATGGGTGTCGGGTTACGGTTAATGCGGAATTTGCCACTAAAATTTTTATTATTGTGCGGGGCCATTTTAATGAAACGTGTAATGATAGACTAAAATTTCGTAAGTGAATGACGGGAAACGATTTTATTCATTTGTTCGGAAACCGCTTGATCGATAACTTAGAATTCCCATTGCCTTTCGAAGAAGATTTAAGAGCAGGAGTGAAATAGCCATTGCGTGGTGTTATCGATCAGTCTGTGAGCAGATATCTGTCTTTAGTCATTGAGGTGGTGCTATAACTATTTCAGTCACACTCATCGCGCCTAGTTTGTTTATTAGCACGCCTGATAGAAGCAGACTTTCTGAATTTAAGTGAAATAGAAAAATTATGTCAATGAATTTAATGTTACTAGTGGAAGAGAGATGAAAATACCACCACTCGTCTGGTTTCACTAATAATAATGCTTGTTTCTCTTTCAGTTTCGGGTATATAGTTCTATTGTTTCTGAAAAAAACACTTCTTTTTTAAGGGGATGAAATAGTATATTATATACCGCGGGACTGAAGTAGTACTTTTAATCCCGACGGTAAAGTTTACGGCCCGACCGAAGGGAGGGCCATAATTTACCTGAGGGATTAAGACCACTACTTCAGTCGCAAGGTATATACGATATTTTTCGTACTTCCGAAACCGAAACACTTAATATGTATGGAGTTAGAGAACGCGTTCTTTCAAAAAATCGCTGCTTACCAAGTTACCATAGGAACGTTACGTTGGTATGACAATCCCTATGCCATGGTAACAAAAATAATTTGGAAACTGTCATTACTAGAGTCATAATTTTGGTGGTGGATGACAAAGGTGTATTTGATATTGATAAAAAGCGGCCAAAGTAGGTAAAGAATTGATACCACCGAAATCCAAAAAACTATATGAGCAGCAGTACGATGCGTTTAAGAAGTAGTGCCGCATACAAAATGTGGAACAACCTACTGAAATTGCCTTGTTAGTAATTTCATCCTTCCGGGATTTTCGTCTAAATTTAATCCCGGCGGGACAAAAAGTGACACTTCAGTACTTGTCATAATGGAGTGAAGTTGTTACTTTAGTCCCGGAAGTACGAAAAATCTATTTTTTTCATCGTACACAGTTGCTGCAGGTAGCAAAATTTTTATAATGGCTTATATTTTAATAAGCAAAAATAAACAATATTATTCCAATAGAACAATTTGAAGAAAAACGGCAAAAACTAGGGGAACAATTTTAAGATATAGGTACACGGTTTTTGATATAATTAAAAAAAAACTAAATTAACGTATTGGATCCGCGCTACTAAATAGTTTTTTAAATCCGTCATCTCTCTCCTCTTTATTGTTGCTAAAATATTTTCTTTTGTTTCCTAGTGCCCAACTGCCTTAATTAAACATCTATTATTTCTTTTTCCTACATTATTACCGCAATAAAAGCAATTCGAAGTAAAATCGAATACTTCTGCTTCCTGAACGATTTGTTTTTGTTCACTAATTCTTGTTCCTGCCTGTTTTACAGCTGATACGATTGCGCTGGACTTATTCATATTTAGTTTACAGGAATTATGAATAAAATCCTCATGAAGTTTATTTCAGGTTTTGCATCTCAGATCATTTATTGCTTTGGCCAGTAATACTAACGTTCTTATTATTGTAGATTTTCAACAGCCCCAACGCAATTGCATCAGCTGTAAAACAAGTAGGAAGAAGAGTCAGCGAACAAAAACAGATTGTTCAGGAAACAAAATAATTCGATTTTACTTCGAATTGCTTTTATTGCGATTTTCTCGGAGTTTTTCTATAGGAACCATGATTTTTTGTTTATTAAAATATAAGTCTTTCCGAAACATTCTACCCCGCGCACCTCTGTACGATGGCTTAAAATTAATACAGAGTGAGCAACAAAGATTGAAGCGTGCCGCTTCAGCTAAATTGGCAATGTGCCGCTCATAGCATATGCTGATTTGATACAAGATACGAAATACGAATAGACGCACGTCACTGTGACAGCGCAGAACGTCATTTTCGTATACAACTCCATACAAAGAAGGTAGTTTTGATATTAATAGGAACAAGCGGTGATGACGCACGCTTCAATCATTGTTGCTCACACTGTAGTTTTGCCACAAATTGCAAAATTCCACTTTCCACTCCTTTCAACCCTTGGGATTTCACCCGCGGGAAAATTCAGCTGTTTTAATTATTTTTTCCCAATTTCTAATCATTTCACCTGCATGAAAAACTCGGTTTTAACGGAGAAGTAATTTTTTTTGTCAAAAAATATTATATAGCCTGGACTATTATTAAACATTTTAAATACCAGGTGTGTCGCTCGTCATTCATCACGCCAGTTTTGCACATTCTTTACCCTTATTTTCGGCATTATTTCAGCCGCCCCCCGCCCCCTGGTTGACATATAACAGTAGGTACATAACTTAACCTCCGTTTGACGCGTACCTACAAATAAAAGGACGCGTACTTTGTTAGGGACAGGAAAGTATTGATAAGTTTGTTCTTCACTGAACTGCTTTACTACAGTATTAAGTAGTTTTTTGAACGTTAATCAAAAGTTATAGACTACGGGCTGTAACTTTTGAACTAGTAGCCCAATCTTGAAACTGTTTGAAATTATGGATTCTACAGGCCTCATTCTATAAGAAAAAATTTTTTCCGGGTCGATCTGAGACAATTTTTTTTTCGGTGCTCAAAAAAAGGCAGGAATTACAACCTTCCTTTTTTACCAAAAACCGACTACACCAAAATTTCTCGGGAAAACACTTTTTCTTATTAATTTGGGTGCGTAGAATCCAAATCAATTCGTACTTTTTCGATCACACTTTCAATCAAAAGTTATAGACTAGAAACCAATTTCGAAAAAAAAGGGCTGTAACTTTCGAACTAGTAGCCCAATCTTGGAACTGTTTGAAATTATGGATTCTACAGGCCACATTCTATAAGAAAATTTTTTTTCCGGGTCGATCTTAGACAATTTTTGTTTCGGGGCTCAAAAAAAGGCAAGTTACAAACCTTCCTTTTTTACCAAAAATCGACTACACCAAAATTTCTCGGGAAAACACTTTTGCTTATTAATTTGGGTACGTAGAATCCAAATCAATTCGTACTTTTTCGATCAGACTTCTTAAGTAAATAAAAACGTAAGTGAAGTGTGTATTACGAAGATTCCTACTATAGCGGCTACTTTAAATCTACTTTTAAAAGGTGTACATTTACAATTCAAAATATACAAGGAAATCTACTGTAAGTCCCACTACCTATACTTCTGAGTTACAAAAAAAATCTTCCACGTTTCTGTTTCCAAACTGGATTAACACCCCCGACCATCAGTGCCATCGTGGATTTTGACAACCAGTTTCTATCGCACTATAAATACCAAAACCTTCCTTTTCATATTTCATCTGCTAAATGATTAGAATAGACTGAGAAAACGAGCGTAAAAGTTTCATTTCGCAACTAGCAAAGTAATTGCAAGGGATGTCTGGCAACTCAACTCACAATATTTTTATACAATAAACAGCTAAAGCTAAATCTGTACATCACGTAGTAAAGCGAGTCTCGCAGTTAATTTAAAACATTGCGGCTATTATGCATAGCGAGTGTAACGTCAGCTACATAAAAATATTACTCCTGGATCTTTTGTAAGTTGAAAACCGCTTAAAAATCCGACACAAGGATTGCACGCATAGTATACTATCTTCGTTTCGTACGTAGGTAGTATAAGTTAGGAGCAAAATAATAGTAGTGATGATAAGCGTAGATAAATTTTTATTGTAAATAATTGAACAAAAGCAACTGCTGTACGTGCATATATGTAGTATTGGTTATGTACATATATGTATATAAATTTAACTGTGTATGCATTCAACCACATTGCGGAAACTAAACTGCGGCCAAATCAATAATAAGGGGATCGGAATGGGCCGTTGCAAATTCCCGAGGGATGTTTCTAATAACAGCTGTCCACTACACAACTAAACCGCCCACTATTAGAAAGGGACTGAAAAGCGAGATTGCGGGTTAGCTGTCGACGCACGTCACTTACAACGGGAAATTTGATTACAACGCGTTTCACATTCAAAAATTCCCGGTCGCCCTTCATTACTAATTTTACAATTGCAACAGTATTGTTTGGGGGTAGCTGCATACTGCTGTGTGATCATTGTTATTGTAAATTGGGGAGGCATATTCCGTACATCCTTTTACGCAATTTAATTTTCTTAAATGTGTTTTTCGGTTGTGGCAATGAATAAGTTTGAAACACATCGGGCAGTTACTATTTTCCCTGCCCAATGTTATTTTATCCCAATTCACTTTGATATCTACTCACTTTCCCAGTTGTTTTTCCCTAATGCAGTAGAAGTTTGCATCTGCAGTGCTTTTCGAATTTTATATTTATATCAATAATCAAGGCGGTTTAGTCGGCGAAGTAGTCCCACATAACAATGAATAAGTTCGACTGGTTATCAATGAAAAGGGCCGGCCGTTTGCGAATATTAAAAGTAATTGGTCGGAATACTTGTTAATTATCCCGTAATGAATCTCATCCTGCAATTGATACACGAAACGGGATGAGTTGACCATACAAAATTAATTATCCTTTATAACAATCCTATACCTGTAATTACAATATTATTTCCCTTAACGAAATTAGCATTTAAAGTTTTTAATTAAATTCGACCAGATTGTTTTCATGGGATAATTGAATTACACCGAATCAACGTAAATATATCTGCCTATTCTCGTTCTTGTAGCAAGGCAAAGCTTTCACATTAATTATATATAAACACCTGCTGGAACAGTCCCATTTTACTTAAAAGTTCCAAACAAAGTTTTCCACTTTCCGGCAGTTTCACAATTTTCAATTAAAGGCCGGGTTTTATTTTCTTAATGTAGGTATTGCATTAGGCATGCATTATTTTCAAGGCGAGATCGAATTTTAAAAGAACATAACATGCAAACAATAATTTTCCGTGTGGTGTCACTTTGCTTCAGAAAATAGACAATTTGGGTTATGACTTTTGGAATAGAGTACGGAAGTATTAGGGTCGTGTAGTAAATTGGCATATTATTAGTAATTACCGTTTTAAATTCTCTGTTGTAGCAT